ACCGATTCTTCCGCGATTCGGCTGCCGGCGACGCGATCCGCTTGCTCCTCTGTTCGTGAATGTAGAACTCCTCTTCTTCGTCGCTAGCCACGAACACCTTTACACGGACACCTCTAGCCAAGAAGTATGGATCTTCCCACAAACGGCGTCAGTTGTTGTGAGATATGTACTTCCTGACATATAAATGAGAAAGCAAACACATAAGCAAACACATATCGTTTACGTGGTTCGATCCAATTGGATCTACGTCCACGGGAGGGAATCAATCAAGTAGTTCACTAAAGCAAAAGAAATGGAGAATACATAGCTTATACATACAGATGAACCCTCATCTTCCTTCTATGGTCTCCCTCTCAAGCGACACCTTGATACAAGACCTCAAGATGATCTCCTCCTCTCTAGCTCTCTAAATATTCTCTCCTCCTTTGTAGTAGCTCAAGATTTCTTCCCTTGCTCTCCTAAGCCTCACACTCTCTCTATTTATAGAAGCAAGAGAGTGATAGGTGGGAGGTAAGTGAGCGGTAGGTGAGATGTGGTAGGTGAGCGGTACCACATTACAGAAGTGTCATTTTACCTTAGTTCACTAATTGGGGGTCAAAATAACAATCTAATACCCTACGTAAAATAAGGCCACTTAGGGCTAAAGAATATCATTATTTAAGTGAATAAAAATTGACTGTGTGATAACTAATTTCTTAGGCTAAAAAATAAGGATATTAACATACATACCACCCAAATCCAATGTATTTACATATCTAACATCTAAATTTTGTTCTTAACATTTACATCACCCAAACTTTTCATATTACATAAAAAATACCGATATTTTGACTTTTAAAAAGTAAATTACACATTTTGTTCTATAGGTAAGATTATATGTGTATGCAAAAAAAATTTGAATTTTAGGTGTTAGATATGTAAATTCAACAAAGTTGTGGTAATTAAATCTTCCAAGAAAATTTTATGTTAGACTATTCTATTTAAATTTATTTTTAAAATAAGAATAATATACGGTCAGCCTATTTAATTGTATATTATATTAGCTGATTATAACATATATTTTAATTTAATTAATGTCAAACATATATATTCTAGTGATGAATTATATCACATCGTTTATCTCATCTTCTCAGTAGCTAATCATTTCAATATTTATAGGACTATCCTTTTTTTTTTTTTCCTGTCATTTTTAACCTTCTCCACTAGCAACCAACCCTTCACCTAATATTTAAAAGCAATGCATTCTTGTTTTTACTCTACGCAACCTACAGCTTTACTTTGGTATATTTGTAAATATATGAAATTTTGGAAAAATTATTCTGTTAGGACTCTTAACGTAAATAACCATTCCGAGTCCAATAAAATCATGCTGCGTGATGGTGACATCAAAAAAATAAACTATGCACGGTAACACAAGGGAATATATCTTTCATGTTATTCAGGTGTTATTGTGTGTTATCCATGTGTTATTTTGTTATTATAACACCGGGAATATTTTCATAACACAATAACACCTGAATAACATATGATAACACATAAATAATATGAAATAACACGAGGAGAATATTCTCGTGTTACCAGGCCGAAATTTTTTTTTTTTCTGTCATCGCCATGTGGCGTGATTTTATTGTACTTCGAATGATTCTCTACGTTAGGAGTCCTGACAGACTATACGCAACTGCGAAGTTATTCAAGTTGATTCTATTGTGCTTCATAGATCAAGAATTTCAATCACAACAATAATCAACCAAATTATAAAGATAAAATTTTACATATTAGCCTCTTTCGGATTTTATTCAAATTAGATTAGAGAGGTACGTATGTAAATATGAAAATCTAGGTGTTATATATGTAAATACATAAAAATTGTTGGTATGTACATGTAAATGCCCCAGATTAAAATTCAAGCACTCAAGAATCGTATGCATGGTAGGCTTATGCCAGTTCATAAATCATGCAATAATTACGCTAATTTTGGATAAATCTTTCAATAAACCACTAATATTTTAGTATTATTGGCATTGGACAATGATATAAAAATTTTAATTTAATTAATTAACATTGATTTACAAAAGAAACCAGATGGAGTTATTTATAGTTTATTTTGACTAAACTTGAAATTAAAGCAAATTAAAGTAATATAAAAGTAATTAAGCAACTGTTAATTAACACTGATTGAGCAATTATTAATGCCTGCCTGGAGAATCGAAGCTGCAAGCACTTTAATACAAAAAGACAACCTGTGTTATTTCTTAATTATTCACTTGCTCCCAATAATATGAATATAAAGTGAAATCAATCAATTTCAGTCATTAAGAGATAATTTTATTCATGCCATGTAATTATTATATATTTGTATATCTAATGCATCATTGTGTCGCGCACCTCAGTCTGTTGGTTGACATCCACGGTATAAGACCCCTCAGGTTGGGGGTTTGAATCCACTCCAACACAGTTGGCCTTAAAGAGGTGATACTCGAATGTTGGGCACATTGAGTGGTTGTAGGCTCATAATAGTCTCTAACCATTCATTTAATATATATATATCTGTTGCTTTCTATATAATGCATCATTTTTAACAGTAATTACATACGTACTTCCTACTTTGTTTATATTTACATTCATGACTGTCAATTTTTTAATATCTTACAAAAAAATATTATTATTATTTACTTTTAAAAATAAAAAGTAATTGTATAATAATTTTGTGATGCTAAAATATTATAAATATAAATAAAAAACTTCAAATATTAGTTATGTGAATATATTAAAAAAATTTATTTGATTTATAGATAAATTTTATAAAATTAAAATTTAAGTGTTTAACATATAAATATATAAAATTATGAAGTTGCATCAAAATTTGTATTTCACTTAAAATCGTTATATATTTTTTTTATGTGACATGAAATATTTAGGTAATATAAATATAAAAAATAAATTTTAACTATTAAATATGTAAAACATATAGGAGTTGAGTTGTATTTATAAAAATTCCCCTAAAAACTATGTAATATGTATGTAAGAAAATAAATAAATAAATAAATTTCTCTTACATTGGGGACGAGAACCATCCAAAAGTTGATGCTAAATACAGATTGGCAGGGACAGAGGGCCCCCTAGAGGCAGCAAGCCAACTGTACCCATTCACCAATTAACCCAACCACATAGGTGAGTTAAGGTGCTAACCCAACACAAGTTAACGACCGTTAAAAAAAGGCAACCAATGCACGCTTTTCAAAGTCCGTGCCTTCAAAGGAGGCCAAATAGTACATAAAATAATGGTAAAAATGTTGGGTTAATTCTGCAAAACTACGGGCATAGACAGCCACAACGTCTACTGCACAGTTAACATAGCTATATCACCACCTCAAAAGTTGGTGCCTTCATCCTCTGCGGACACCAAACGCTTGTTGGCTTCTAGCTTGCTTTCCCTTCTTCCTTCCTTCTTCCTCTCTGCTTCTTCTCTTAAAAATTTCTCTGAGATTCAGTAAAAATGGCTGCTTTGGTTTTAACTGTGCTGTTTCTGGCCATGTTTACTCTTTCTGGTAAGCTCTCACTACCTTCCTCTCTTTGGTTTCTCTTCGTTGCTTGTTATGAGGGACTGAAAGGAAAATCGAAACATTTTTCTTATTTTTTCTTTTGGTGAGCAATAGACATGATTCAAAAAAAATATAAGGGAAAGTTGTTGGAAAAAATCTGAGAGAAGATTGAATATATTTGCCTCTTGTCTTGCATTGTCGATCATCTCATTTTTTCTGTTTTTTTTATTTTATGCAGATAAAGATTGTTTTTGTATATTTTTTTTCTTTTTTTGCTTATGTCTCATATGTACTAGACAGAGTATGATCTTGTAAATGAATGATGATTTATATCATTGTCTACTTCACATCTACAAACAATAATGCTGCAAAACGCATTAGAAATAAGAGAATAATTCTTTCAAAAGATTTGAGAAGAACAAATTTAAGAAATGGGTGCTTCATTTAACCAATTCCAAAACGAATGGAAGAACTCTGTGGATCTGAAATGGGTTATGTGGCTATTTACATTTGAATAAAGTAGTAGATATTTGAGTTTAGTAGGTTTATTAAGTTCAGTAGTCATGGACATCTGTAAATAGCTTCCATTTGAAACATTATTATGAACAGAAAATTGAGTTCAAGTTTCTCCCAAATCTGTGTAGTTTTCAGCCATGGGAGTTGTATCAATGGTGCTTTCGTTGATAGTTCTATTGCTTGCCTCATTCTATATAACATTGTATATATGAAATCTCAAGCTAAAAAATTCGTTTTTTTTTCTCTTTTTGACCTTTATCTTCTCCTTGGAAGATGCTGCGTGGTGTGTTTGTAGGAGTGATGTGAGCAACACCGCCCAGCAAAAGACATTAGACTACGCCTGTGGAGCTGGGGCTGACTGTAATTCTATTCTCCAAAATGGAGCTTGTTTCAACCCAAACACAGTTCTTGCTCACTGCTCCTATGCTGCTAATAGCTATTTTCAGAGGAAAGGTCAGGCTCCGGGCTCATGTGATTTCACTGGAACTGCTATCACAACACAAACTGACCCAAGTAAGGATCGAAAGATCTTTTTTTTTTTTTTTTCATTCTGGTTTAATTGGAACACCCGGCTTGATTCTCTTTTGCTTACAGGTGGCAATGGCTGCACTTTTCCTGCAACTGCAAGGTAAATATTGTTATACTGCATTGTGACTGTTGTTAGTATCCACTTTCTGGTCTAAAGTTTGGTTGATTTATCACTCTTTGTTGGGAGTATGTGTCATCATCAGTAGACCAATTCCTGCACTACATTGACAGAATAATTGCAATTTCTGTTGCTTTCTTTATTTTTTTCTGAAGTTCTCATTAATTTTTTTCTGATGCCACCATTTTTCTGCTTGTTTCAGTCACTAAAATAGGAAAACAAATTACAAACTTCTTTAAATACATTACTGTTAGTCTTTAATCATGCTTTATTTTTAATTTGTGACAAAATAATCTTTTGTCTCTATTTTTTGAGTTTCTTGTTATATTTTTCTGATGTCCGACTCAAAAAGTGACATTTTTACTGAGTTTTAAAAGTTTATACGGTATTTGTGACTGTTGTTAATTATCCATTATGTGTTCTCAGTGCTGCAACGAGTACTGGAAGCTCAACGCAAAACCCAGCCTCGCCATTTTCATCTTCATCAACAGGAAGCTCCACTCCAAGCACAAGCGGAAATGCAGTTTTGGGAGGTCTGGGTCCTTCTGGAACTACAACAAGCATTGATGGCAGCGCTGCTGCTTCATTTCTTCCAAATCCTGTTATGGTGAGCTCTCTGCTGCTGCTCATCTTCTTCCTCCATTGCTTGGTTTGGCAGAGAAGTTGAGCGAGGGAATGACAAGTGCCTTTTGTTCTTCCTCCGTTGCTGGTTTGGCAGAGAAGTTGAGTGAGGGAATGAGAAGTGCCTTTTGTTCTTTTATGATGTGGGATCAATCTACTCTACTCTTACTTTCTTTTTGTAAACATAGAGAGTCTCTGCTAATTTATTAAGTTCTGATGCTATGTTTTGTTGTTAATTTCTGGTTATATTTATTTATTTTTCACTGATTTATTATTGAAAGATTCTAACATCTGAAGTTTGATTTTTTCGTTTATATTTGCTTGTTTGAAAATCTGTGTTTGTTTTTTTGGAAGTTAGTAATAATGATATTGTTGATGTCATGATATGAAAGATTTGAATGTTTTAAATGTAAAAATTAAAGTTGCAAATTTTTGACTAAATTTCAATCTATTAATAAAATGGTTATGATTATATAATTATATATACACTACTTTTATGTACAAATCTTGTTATATATCTATATATTTTCATTATATATACAATTCTTATTTAATTTGGATATGCTAGGCTCAACGAAACTCAGCCCACTGAATAAGATTGTAATGGAAAGATGATCACAGCTATCATATACCAAATCAGATGATATGGTATTTATGTTGTATATAAAATTTTCTCAAGCCATTCTCAAGCCATTAATTGAATGATATATATATATATATAGCCGTTATCCAAAATAGAACACATCCTTACACTAAAGCATACAGTTCTAAAACCTTCTTAAGTTTGTGCATCTTGTGCTTTAGCTTTTTAAAGAATGCAAGTTATTACAACCATTTTTATAATTTGGAACTTGACTCAAACAATTTTTTGAAAGCCTTGGGATCTGTTTGGGGCACCTTTATAGTTGCTTTATTTTTCAGACCACCACTACAACTCTGTTTGGAGATCCATTTTTTGTAGTGGAAAATTATTTTTTTTTAACCGGACATGTTAAAATATGGGGATTGACAGAAAGTTGCGGGTTGACTCTTTGAAATTAAAATAAGTTTGTGATCATCATCACAACTTTTTGAACAATTATAGCAACAGCTTCATAGTTACTTTTACAAACAGTTGAAACTGCCACAAACAGGTCTCTAGTGGTACGGAAAAATTATTTAGCAAAAGGCTGATTGTGTTGCTCCTATAATTTGATCTTATATGTCTTACTTAGATTTATCCACCTCAGAATATAAACAACCAACTCAACTTGTCCCAAGCCTCGGATGTGAAAAGTTGAGGGTTACGTTAAGTAATTAACAACTAAATTAAAATTTGTCCAAAAATCAATACATGAATCCTTTAAATCCTTGTGTAAATTCTAGGGTGTCCCCTGGAAAGCGACACACTGTACAACTTGAAAATAGTGAAAAATGTGCAAGGGTCGCTACACCGACTCCTAGGTGAAGTGTCAAATAAGCAAGATTTCTCATATTATGAACGAATACGGATAATAAGTTAATCTATAAAACTAATATTATGATATGAACTTGGAATATAAAGATACCCTCACATGTAAATTAATAGAATTAGTTAATATTATGTTTCTTAGCAAGATAAATATTTTATGTATTCAAGAAACTAATAGGTTGGAAAAAATGTTAAGGAGATCAATAACTTACGTTTTAAACTTTAGTATTCATGTAGGAGTCACACTAGAAATGGCGTAAGCGTAATTATAGATAAAAATTTTAAGAGATAATATTGCAAAAATTTATAAAATATGAGATAAGATTATAGGTCTTAAAATTATTGTTGATATTATGATTTTTAAAGTTATAAGTACTTATGCTCCTCAAGTGGGTTTAGATATAGATTCCGAAAAAATTCTGAAGTGACCTAGAAGAACTAATACAATGATACCTCTTGAAGAAAAAAAATTTATTAGAAAAGATTTAAATGGACGTGTTGGTAGAGTGATAGAAGATTTTAGAAATATTCATGGTAGCTATGCTTTTGGAGTGATTAATGAAGAAGGTATAACCATATTAGATTTTGATTTAACCTATGATTTTGCTATTGCTAATATTTTATTTAAAAAAGTGATCATAGTATTAATTATAAAAATGGATCTAATAAAACATAAATTGATTATTTTCTTATGAGAAGAAAAGAACTTCGAGAATATAAAGATTGTAAGATCATTCCAAGTGAAAATTTAAGTACTTAAAATCAATTATTAGTTTTGGATTTTAAGATAAAGAATACTAGGAATCATTGTCATAGAATTAAATAGGAGCACATAAAATTCACAAATAAATTTATTTTTATGAGTAAACTTAAAGATTTCAAGAATTTGGATGTTTATGAAGAAACAAATTTTATGAGGAAAAAAGTAACAAATACTATTAAACAAGTGCAAAAGTTTTACTCTCGAATCAAAAGAAAAATTTTTTATAAATAAAAATAATTGGTTATGGAATAATAATATGCAAGAAAAAATAAAATAGAAGAAGTGTTATAAAAAATGATTTAAATGTAAAATCTTAGAGAATTAAAAAAAATATAAAATGACTTGTAAAAAGACTCAGAGAATAATTTGTTATGAAAAAATTTTTGATTTAGTGATCTTTATAATAGATTAGATACTAATGAGATTGAAGAATATATGTATAAATGAGCAAAACAAAGAGAATAAAAGTAAAGATTTAACTAAAAAGTAAAGATTTAACTAAACTAAAGTAAAATGTATTAAATATGAAAATCAAAAAGTATTTTTCTTAGAAAAAGATATTCAACATATGCGGGTGAGCTATTTTGATAAAATTTTCACTAAAATTTCTGAAAATATTATCGACCTCAGTGATGAGAATCTCATTAATAATAATAAAATAGTTTATTTTTACTGTCCTATTAATAAAAAAAAAGTTGGGGAGGCTTTGAAGAGAACCAAGAATAGAAAATCAATAGGACCTGATAATAAAATAGTTTATTTTTACCGTCGTATTAATAAATAAAAGTTGAGAGGCTTTACAAAGAACCAAGGGTGGAAAATCAATAGGACCGGATGATATCCCAATTGAAGTGTGGAAATATTTAGGAGATTCAAGAGTTTATTAGCTTATTCTCTTTAATATTATTTTAAAAACTAAAAAAAATAAATACATGAGCAGAGGAGGAAGAGTGTTTTGGTCCCCATTTTTAAAAAAAAAGGTTTTGCACAAGAGTGTGTTAATTATAAACAAATTAAGTTGATGTGTGATACTTTAAAATTATGGGAGATAGTAATTGAACATAAGTTAAAACGTGATATAAAGATTTTTCATAATAGGTCTACTAAGGAAGCTATACATTTATTGGGATGTTTGATGAAGAAGTACAGAGGCAAGGAGAATAAAAATGAGTTACATATGATTTTTATGGATTTAGAAAAGCCTTACCATAAGATTCCAAGAGAAGTCCTTTGGAGAGTTTAAGAGAAAAAAAAATGTTGATATGACTTATATTCAAGTCATTAAAGCTATGTATACTAGAGCTTTTACTTGCGTTCGATAAGAAGAATTGACCAACTATTTTCCTCATTTAGTTGGATTACATAAGGGATCGGCTTGAAGCCCATATCTTTTTTGCTTTAGTTATGGATGCACTCACTTGACATTTATATGAGATTATAGCTTGGTGTAGGCTTTTTGCTGATGACATCCTTCTTATGGAGGTCTACATGGGAGTCTGAAGGTCTTCGTTTGAGTAGAACTAAAAACGAATGCTTGGACTGCAATTTTAGTAGTAGTAGCTTTCGCGAGAGAGTAGTAATTATGGGTGATCAAATCATTAAAAGGTTTATATGTTTCAGATATCTTGGGTCTATTGTTCTGAGTGATGGTGATATGGATGGAGATGTTATTGGTAAAATTCAAATTAAATTGGTTGAAGTGAAGGAATGTTTTGAGCCTATTATATGATCGAAAAGCTCGGCTTAAACCGAAAGGAAGATGATGGTGAAACCTGCAATGCTCTACGACACAAAATGTTGGCCTTTAAAAGAGAAGCTTAAAATAAAATGTGAAATGCATGTGATAACGTTGGTGCAGCTCTAGTGGCGGACAAAATTATATTGTCATCTTAGATGATTTGGTCAAATTAAACTTCGATCATCTGATGATCCAGTAGGAGAGTAGATGTTGTAGCTTTGACTAATGTTAAGAAAGGCGGAGGTAGACTTAAGAAGGATTGGGCATATTGTATAAAGAATGATCTTAAATTTATTAGAATTAAATGAAAATATGACACTTATTAGGACGCAATCGAGAAAAAAGGGTTTATTTAGCCTACCCCACTTAGTGGGATAAAGGCTTCTTGTTATTTTTGTTGCTGTAGTATATAAACAACCAATGACTCCTTAAATTTAAGCTTCTCAGCAATCAAATAACCTGTACTAAATGGCAATAATTTTAATAACCTTTTTACCGTCATCTTAAAATAAACTTATTTTTAGACAAATTTAGCATGACGTGTTGTTACTGATGGTATGTCACATCTACGGGCATCAAATCGGCTTCACGGTTTAGGCCTGACCTAAAATTGACCCAACCCGAAACTATTATAACCCGAATCCGAGCTGAATATTAGAGGAGTCATAGTCCAATCTGAACACGTCCTACTTTCAACATGCCAACAAGAACATGACCCGTATAACTCATTTAACTTAAATAAATAACCAAATGACAGAATATTGAGTAGTGTCAGGATACTTAAAATTGAATAATCATAGTGAGGTTTGCATGAATTTTATTCATGGTTGCAGATAAAAGTTTCATGCATGGAAGTAAACTTACAGGAGGGAATTATAAGAATAGAACCAAATTGTTATGTTATTATATCTAGCATAAACAGTTATATAGTTACTCTTACTACATCTTAATCTCTAATGACATAAAAAAAATCTCTTACATATAAATTAAAACACTTTCATACATACGTTTTGATATTATTTAGACACTTAAAAGTTATATATATATAAATATATATATATATATATACACACACTAAACTTAAAAACAAAAGAAAAGTATGACCAAATAAGGGCCCGTTGGATTGAACTATACACTTACAAATCCTATTTAAGAACATCACTCTTGTCAACACAAAGCACTGGCTTTCCATTAAGAACATCACTTTTGTCAACAGAAAGCACTGGCTTTCCATTAACTGTGCTGTCTCGTACAAACCTGAAGATGGTTTCAGCAACAATTTCTGGCTTCTCTACATGCGGAAAATGCCCACAATTTGGTATTTTTTGCAATATTGAATTGGGCAATTCTTCATGCAACTTCTGCAAAAAAATAATAATAATAATAATAATAATACAAAAGAGTAAAAAAGGAATAATACTTGAAAAATCAACAAGAAAAGTCTGTAAATTTGTCTTATTTGGAAAGAGCAAGGGTCAATATGTTCCCTCCATCAGATATCAGTATAAATATCATATTAATTCGTCTTATCAGCACAAGCATCAATAGCTGGTAATAATAGGAGAAATGCTAGCATGGACAGAGTATAATTGAAATATTTACCAAAATTAAAAGAAAAAAAAATCATAGATTTTATTTTATTTATACTGATAAATGAGAGGTGAGAGTGAAATGATGTTCTTGAACTTTTCCATCATCCGGACTAATCAATCTAAAATTAAACTTCAAAATTTCTAGTTGACAGGCATACACTTTCAGAAATTATCTCAGGTAAACTTGCATGCAGGATAGTCTCGTAGACAAAGATTTATTTATTTATTTATTTATCATTCTTTATTTTAGGGGGGGGGGCATTTACATGCATACCACCCAATACCTATGCATTTACATATCTAACACCTTATACCACCCAAATCTTTCATATCACAACAAAAATACCACTATTTTAATGTTTAAAAAGTGAAATACAGCTTTCACATTTATGTAAAATTTGAAGTTAAGGTGCTAAATATGTAAATACATAAGAATTGAGTGGTATGTATTCCCCTTTTTTTTAACGTCTTACTATAATGATAGGACATGGTGTTTTTTACAAATATATACAGATATTGAGACAAAAGAACAAACCAGTGCCAGCTCACTGCATATAAGCCTATCATCCTCGCCCCATATGATGAGCGTCTTCTGTTTTACCTGTACAGGGTTATTCAATGGGATTGGTGCCAAAGTTCGGAATAGAACAGCTGTTGTCATCACACATTTCAAGATTGAAAAATGATATAATCCATTAAAAGATGAAATAACCCAACATAAATTGACAAAATACAAAATTGATTGGTTCGTGTATTTGCTTAATAAGTATATTTAATTAGTTAATTAATAACAATTACTAGTCTTGTATTCTATAAATAGTTCCGTTTGGAGCCATTAAAAAAATAGAACTAAAATATGATTAAGTTCTCCAAATGCTGTGTTCTTGTTTCTTCTTCTTCCCCCACCTAAATTCTAGAGTTGTCAGTATTCTTGAATTATTGTTTATCCTTTTTTATCTTTCTCCGATCCTCCCCCATCCAGGAGTTGCCGGCATCCTCAAATTGTAGAATATCAGGATCCAAGAAATTAATTTGTATCATAAACTATGTGTAACGTCGTATAAAAAGCATCAAAAGATTTATTTGTTGATATTCAAGTTAAGAGTTAATAAAAAATAGCCAACGGAATTCTGCAGAGAGATTAAAAATCAAAATATTATAAAAAATGTTACTGCATAGCGATATGAATCCACATCAGAAAAGTACCAATTAGATCAGAATGAATAGCATCATCATCATTTGTCTTATCCCAACTACTAGTCACGTTTATGATTCCTCATTTATCATCAATTGCTACAAAATGCTACTTCAAGCACAAAAAACTACTGTTAATAGATCTTTTTTAGCTCTTAGTGGGCTCCCAAAACTCCGACCGATCCCCACAACTCTTTGGATTTATTTTTATTTTATTGTGTGTTTTGAGAGGTCTTTGAAAGGTCAAATTTTTATAAGGTAGATTGAATTGCAATCAAGATAGTACTCGAGATTTTACCCTCATTTTACAATGACATTTTAATTTGAGGTTCAAGATTTCCCATAATTGCAATCCTTTATAGTCAATTATCCCTCATAATAACAGGAGAGCATTTTCAATTAAAACTAATTATTAAGAGTTGAATATTCAACATATAATAACAACAGACTTAGTATTTAAATTGCAAAATTTATAACTTTAAACTCAAAGCAGATAGTAGGGAAATGAAGACAAAACCCGATCAAGATCTCAGGTTTTGTCGTCTCGGTTCATAATCTGATCTACTTTGTTGAATGAGGTAGTTGACCCAACCTCACTGAAAGATCATTGTCAGCAACCATAGGTTCTGTCGTTCAAGGGGTCTTCGTAGATTTGGCGTGAATATCTGTCTTAAGGGACAAATTTTAGTCGACCCTAACTAACCGAATTTTTTATGGCAATCAATTGTACCCTTATAGTTTACAACACAAATGGATGAAAGTTGTTGAGGACATGTGGGCTACAACCGCAACCGTAATATAACGTTGTCATTTGACAGCAACCAACAGTTCAAAAGGCTCTGTTCGTAGCAGTTACTTATGATGTCATTTGACAGCAAAATCATGCAGACTAAGGATTCGATACATGTCCTTACTGACATGTAATTGCTCTGATTGTGAATATAAAGATACACTTAATATGACTTCAGTTCTTTGTGAGCTGAAATCAGTCAAAAATTTGTTACCCTAGACAAAATGTTATGAAGGGTGGGTATGATTTGCTTTAAGTCTCAAGTGATTTAATTTTAACTTGAACAATTTAGTTGATTATCTTGAAAGTCTTAATTTAAGATAGACCCCTTCGGTTGAAATCTTCAATCAACATGGTGATTATCAGGAAGTTTAGCATTTTAAAACTTTTATATTTGAATGAGAGCATTTAGTTTTGTTTAGTTTAGACCTTTAGGGTAAGCGTACTGTCAACTCCAGTCCTTACAAAGAGGAGGATCGGACTAGGTGATTTGAACCTGTAAATTCTTATTTTATGATTTGGAAGCTTATTTCGGAATTACTAGACTCAGCAACTCTAATTTTTATGAGAAGGAGGATCAAACTAGTTGGGTGAGACTTACAACCCTATCATATAGACAAAGCGGCCCAATTAGCCTACACAAGATTCTTAAATCTAATATTTAAAAATTCAACAAATTCAATATATTTGTTGGAGCACATGCAGACGCTTAACTTTATATATTTTAATATCTTAAAAGGTTTAATAAATTTTAAGGGTTTACACGTTCTCTTAAACCAGAAATCTGATGTGAAATTTACTTCAACAAACACGGGCCAAAATTAGAAAATGTGCAAAATTGACTTATTTCCTTAAATGTCTTAAAGCATCTGTAGTTACGGAATATCCAACATATTATTCATACAAATCTTAGAAATAGTTATATAAATTTTCAAATATTGCATTTAACTTAAGAAGCCATTATGAAGTTTAAAAAACTTTGAGATCATTCAAAACTTGAAATGTTTTCAATATTATGATTTTTGAATCATACAAAAATTCATTTTGGGGCTATAAAAAGGGACATCTTTTGTTCGCTAGTAGACACATTACGAATTTGGTGGTAAAATTTTAAATTTTAAAAGCTCAATATTTAAATTATTGTCTCCTAGAAGTTTAAGTTCTAAAAACTCAATATTTAATTGATTTTCAAACCCTAAGAGCCTAACTGTGAAAAGCTCTGTTTCAAAATATTTTTGGATCCTAAATTTGAAAAGCGTGATTTCAAAATATTTTTAAGTATTATAAGCTTAAATTTTAAAAATAAATATTTTAATATTTTTAAATCCTAGAAGCCTATGTTTCAAAAGCACAAAACTTTAATTTTTTTAAACCTTAAGAACCAAAATATTAAAATCCCAAATCTCCAAAATTTTAAACCCTAAGAGCTTAAATTTTAGAAGCCTAGCTTTCAAATTATTTAAAAATTTAAATGAGTCACATTTTTATTTTATAAACTCAAAATTTAAAATATTTTAAATTAATTACAAGTTCAGATCACCAGAAATTTCGGCAGCCTCTCGATGTCGAACCCAGTTAGGGGGCACGAGAGAATGCCAGTCGTCCCAGTTTTCTTAAAAGATAAGACGGTACTGTGGTCGGGGAGCAAAACAGAACATTCAACCCACGATCTCAAGAGATGCAAAGAGCCCTCAATATACATGTAGGATTCCTCGAGCGGTACTTCACTTTTCCTTAAGAGTAATAAATTCTCATGTGCAGATACTCCCGTTTCATAAGGGCGAGCATTTTAAAATCTAAATTTTAAAAAAAGTTCTCCAAAAGAGTTTGTGATTTCCCTTAAACGGTACTTAATTCCCAAGGAAGGGTACTCGTGCTCTCCTCGATGAAGATTTTCAAAAATGAACCTATTGATTCAATGTATTATACCTTTCGAGCTTCGGTTGCGTTAATGACGACGACGACAATAAATAAAATCAAAGCACAGCACAGATATATACAATTTAAAATGCAAAATACAAACAACAAATTAGAAAACAAAGTGTTGGATCGTTGTTTTAAATTGGGTAGGTAAAGTGGGTTGAATTTGGGTCGCGTAAGGTGCTTGGGCAAGTGAGAAGGTGGAAACGGGCTTAAGTGGATGGTTTTTGGGCTTGGCAGTAGGTGCGATAACAGTGAGGTGTAGTTTTTTGTTCAAATTTGGAATAAGGAGATCAGGCTAGGGCAAAGGGGGGAGAGGGTTCAAGAGGCGCGACAGTGATGAAGAGAAGGTTCAAGCTCGCGAGCTTCGGCCAAACAAAGGCTTCGTGCGATTTACGGAAGAGGCGAAGGTTTTGTGTGATTGGGAAGAAGGAAGTCATTGGCTCTGGTTACTTTATGTCATTCGAAAGAAATGGCAGGCAGGACAAACAGCGTAGAGGATTGATCGCGAAGGATAGAGCAAGCGTGCACAGGCTAGGGAAGATCGACTGGAGAGGAAGGCGTGGACGGAATCAAATGGGAGTTTCAAGCTTATGTTATATTCTTTTTAAGGTATTTTGTGATGTAATGCAGGTAACAGGTGAAAGGCGCAAGTCAGGAATCAAAATGAGGAAAAAGAAGCAAATGGTGTTCTGGCGTCTAGGCGTGAGAACCTGGTGTCAGAACCAATCCCATTGGTGTGCACAAACAGAGTGCTTGGAAAGCCGACGTTGGGCTTGGAGCGTTGGGGCGCTAAACATGGAGCATTGAGGCGATGCCTTACAATGCCTAGGTGCTTCAATTGGGAAAGATTTCTCGAGAACTTGGTAACCCTGCACTGGACCTGGAGCACCGGGGTGCCAGAAGAGCAGCGCCTAGGCGTCGGGACAGCAGCGCCTAGGCGCTATAGAAGGATAAATAGTAGTGCTCCGACACCGCTTATGGGCACACCGACGCTGCTTATGGGCGCCCCGACACCAGAACCCAAATGATAGTTTGGGCAGTTCAAACTTTGGTTCGCTTGGAGAAGATATAAATTAAAAGAAAACAAAATTTATGGGACTTTTCATCATTTTTCTTCCGTCATTCTGGGAGAAGAATTAGAGAAGGCCTGAAAAAATCAATCAAGTAGACAGAAGGGAGGGTGAGAGATTTTGTGTGATCGTATGCTCGTAATTTCAACTTCTCAAGAGTGAAAGAAGAGAAATTAGTTCTCAATTTTTATTATGTAATTGATTTGATTTCATTTTCTTTGTAAGACTTCTGTATTGTTATTTCTTTTCAATTAAAAGATCAAGTTAGTGTGTTCAAGCATGCAGAGTGAGTAAACTTTTCTTTCTTCCATGGGATGGGGAGATGGAAAAAAAATGTGAAATTTTTTTTATAGATTTGTGTTAACTAATGATGGATGATGATTAACTTATTGCACTTCATTTGCATTTCATGTTGACCAAGTAGGGTGTTAATATTTGTCGTGAGTTACAAATCTCGAAAAACATGGTAATATAATCAATAAAGTTAATAACATTAATTTGGTGGAACAATGATATATCTACTAAATTACAACAAACTCAGATAGAGATATTGGTACATGGGTTAAAGGTCGGTATTATGGAACTAATTTGGTCTTTAGCCATTCTTTCTAATTCCATCGGAAAAGGGTAAGAAAGGATTTTGCTTCTGTTTTTCATCTGTATATTCGTTTAACTATTGCATTCAGACTTATTGAACCATTCCAATGGAGAACATCTCAAATACTTGAATAACCTTTTGTTTTCTTTGTTGATAACTTAGGATTTTCTTATAAAATTTAAATTCAATCAAAATTTCAGGCTAGGATCGACATCTACAGGCTAGAACTTTTCTTAATTAAGTTCATCTCGTCATTTGTGGGATCCACAATATGACTTCAATCTCGATACTACTAATATTTCATGTATACTTGTGTGAATAGTCTATGCTTTGTAGCACTTTATGCGTGTCATGTACCGCGAAGGTTTCGCACAAAAACGAAGAAGGTTTTTGTCACATAGGTTGTGCGAGGGAACGACGACGACTTCGGTTAGGGAGATGTAAGGGATTGCAACAGAAACAGACAAAGGGAAAAGATTTGCGGCTTTGAACAGGAAGACTTGGTAGAAGAAGAAAGATAAAGTACAGGAGGAACAGTGCAACTCTATGTGTGGTGAAGTGCGGCAAGGCTTTGGCAATTTGGACGGGGAGATGCAGACTAGATTTCTACAGTAGACCTAACAAAAGAACGACAAACATAGTGCAAATTGAGGATGGGGGGAGGTTTGGTTCGTGCTTTTAACAAAAGAAGAGCGGGAGCGATTGTTCCATCGAGCTGGCTCCAACAGGAGGGAGAGTAAGTAGATAGTTAATTAATTTTTATTTTTTCTCTTTTTTTTCCCTTTTTATCTTACAGTCAACACTCATACCCACCATATGGCTTATGTATACCCCTTTTCCTACGGTAATACTTTCATTCTAATTTTATCTACTAATTTTATGGGCGTATTTTTTATTTCTGTTATGCATGTTTGAATCACTTAATTGTATTTCAGTTATTATCTCTTTAATGTTGCTTATAATTTAGTAGAAATGAGGCTTCAGTTCTGATGAAATACTTAAAAGTCTATAATGCTACTTATTTTTCCTTCTAAATCATGTTAGGACAGCTAACATAAAATGATTCTCAGCATTTGTGCTTTAATCATAAACAGGCATGCTTACAAAAGATAATTTAATAGAGAACAGATAACAGCATGTATATTAAATTAATGTAAACTTCGTCACCAAAATTGTGCTAGATTTCACGGATGCTTTTATACTACTAAGCATTTCTTCTTCTTCTTCTTTTTTTTTTTTTTTTGGTCTTTGTTGCAAATAATTATCCTTTTTTTTTTTGTATGTGTGTGAAGAAAGGCACTAATTACCTGCTTTATTTGACGCCTGACATCATAGCCTCCGCTTATCATAAAATCAACCGTTGCATCTTCCCACCAAGGTAGTAAACAGTGAAGGCGACCTGCCTGCAATTACGTGGCACTTTTTCAAAGTCATGCTAGATAAGAATAAAAAGCTAAAGTTTAATGAATTATTTGTGGTCTCGGACGTTACAAAGAACATAATAGAAAATACTAACAATAATCATTTGAAAAGAGTGCCATCTCTTTTAATTTTGCTACAGTCGGAATGTCTCCTTTCCGATAAATTTTCATGAATAATGGTGTATTGCCTATCAAAATCTATACCAAATAGCCAATGTTTGTTTCTCATACAAATTCCAGAGGCGTAGCATTAAGCATAACAAGAAAAGCCAAACCAAAGTGATATACATCCTGCCAATACGAGGCAAAAGGAACGAAGCCTTACTCGTGCAATGTAAAAAAAAGCCTATTTCTGTTGTTCAAATCAACTAGTCTAAACACTCATATATTGAGAAATTATTTGATCAATTTTAGTAGACCCATAACTTTATCCTCTGTGCAATTTCCCTTAAATATCACCCAGACTAAGAATGTTTATACATAAGCATGCTTAACTTTCAAGTTCCTTACAAGCACACCACTCATTACAACATAAAATGACTATTTAGAAGTTTAGGTACCATTCTTGAGAAGTTGTGCCAAGTGGGCAAAATCTTTAGGCCAACTAATGATGGATGAGAGTCGGGGATGTGACAAATGGTATCACAGCAATACGTTGGACCAAATATAGAAAATAATTGCCATTAAGTAATATTGCTATATGAGGGGTAATCTCGACATGTAAGTACAGTACAAATCTTATTTGCTTAGGGGATATTAGGGATAATTTTTTGCATTGTGTTTAATAGTTTTACTTTTAGTAAAATTAATAAGAAAAACATGTTTGTTTACTGGTGTTTAATTATTTTCACTACTTTGTTATTAAACGCCTCTTCATTTGTTTTTAAAAATACTTAAAACAAGCAAAATATGTTTTTTAGTGTCTTTGGAACATTTTTCTGAGCACAGGCCATCCCGAGCCTGGCCCATACCTGTTGATATTGATTCTTTGGTGGAGGAGTTGGTGAAGAATGGTTGCACGCTTCTATATTAGGTAATTTTTTATCTGAGAGATAGGGTGGTATTAACGAAGGCGTGGATGAAAAGATGAACTGGGAGGATATTAAAAGATTCTTGACTATGGATAGGAGAGTGTGTAGAGCGGAATGAGTGGTTGCAGTGTACCTTCAGAAACGGAAGAATTTGAATAATGTGGCATTTTTTGGTGCCTTGACCATTGTTCCAGTAGATCAGATGATTATGGGCCGGGCACTTAAGATCAGAGCTTTCGGGGACGATGGATTGGAGCTAGAAAAGAAAATTTAAATTGAGATCAACGTGAAAATTAAATGTATTCATCACCACTTTTAAGGCTTGTTTCCTAAAATTGTAAAGCATAGGATGAATTCACAAAATACTTGTCTAGTTTTTTGCTACCCGAAGACTGCGTTTAGGAAGAAGGTACTGGAGATATTAAAAGCCTCATAATATATAGTAGTAGCAGATGTCCAATCAAAAATAACAAAGGCAATATTATTTTAAATTAAAATACTAAGAGCAAAACCTTTTATACAAACCAATTAATATTTTGATACCAAATATTCCTAACTAATCTTTATTTATATCGATATACTTGAAGGTATTTTCTATTAATTATACGTCAATTGAATGTTGTTGCATTTATGTTATATTTGAATTTCTGTAGGAATGTATGGTGACAAATTATAATTGAAGATGAAAAAAAAAAAGAAGAAACCAAATAGTTATTTAAAACAAAATAAATAAATAACTCATAAAATTACCAAATATTTTTTTAGTGTTAAACATAAACAAAACAAACTAAAAATAAAAATAAAAACAATAAAATAGAAAATAATTCCAAATAGCCCCTTAGTGACTAATTATTAGCTAATAAGAGAGATCCTGACAGGAATGCTAATACCTTACAGAGGAGATTATAAGTCTCTCAAGTACAATGAAGCAAAACTCTCAAACATATAGATGTTTTTTGGTGTAACGGTGAGTATGTCATTGAGAATTCTGAAGTAAAGTATGCTCATATTAAAGCACTTTTGTAATGATAGCCTTCCTACGAATTTGCACCCAGAGGGCAAAAGTGGAAGACATCAAGCCAAAGCAATTAATATCTCCCTATATAAGAATTTGAATAATCTCGATAGAAGAGAAGCTCAACTGCTACAAATGATACTCGTGTTAATTGCTAGCATTAATGAGTGATCTTATAGTTTGTGTTGAATTTCTACTATAATGATAAAAAAAATTAAGACACGCGAATCGAGACTCTATGTCGTTACATCAAGTCGCACAGATTGATACTTTGTACCATTAGATCAACGCACATGGATCAAGGCTAAATACCGTTAAATATGTCTATGTACAACCATCTATTACAATCCATGTGCTTTCCTATAGGATCACTACCTCTTAATTAATTTTTCCTCCATTTCCCCCCCCTTTATGCAAATAAGAGAATGAAAATTCATGAGATTTTTTCTTATTACTTATTTTCTACATGGTATTAGAGAGAGATTAAAATGTTTCTTTCAACATTTTGTTTTCATTCGCAGGGTTTCCATTTCCAATCTTTATTCTTAATCTCTAAGTTTTGAATTTCCAATTCCAACATTATCCTCCTTGTCAAATTCTTCTCTTTTAGATGATGTTTATGTACTTCGACTTCCTCTTAAGGGAATCAACCACAATTAACGGTGAAAATAACAACAAAGAAGAACTCCAGATATTTTAATCACCTTATCGCTTGAACGGGAAAAATTAACTTAAATGGTCCCAATATGAATATTTTTTCTAAAGGGAAAAGAAAAATCTAACACTATATGGATCTATTTCGGAGTCGAAGACCCAGAGCTTTTACTTTGGGAAGAAAGTGGTTTTATGATTATGACATAATTGTGGAATACCATGCTACCAGAGATCAGTAGACCTTTTATGTTTCTATCACCTTCAAAAAATGTTTTAGGTAAAGTTAAACAAACATAATCAAAGGTGAAAGATTTTGCACTCATTTATGAAATCAAGACAAAACTTGTCACCACGAAACAAGAAAATCTTTCTTTCATTGAATACTTTAACACCATGAAGGTTTACCGGTTAGAGTTGGACTACTACCAAATCTCAAAATGTCCTGCTGTGAAAAGGCAGGATCCTTACAAAATTCGTCGAGAAGGAGAGTATCTTTGAATTTTTGACAGGATTCAACAATGACTAACCAAATTCGATGTCTTAAATAGAAAAAAATCTTCTTTCCCTGAATGAAGTATTCCATCTCATTCGAGAATAAAGAATGACGGTGATGGTCAATATTCCAGCTCTTAAGATATTTGTAATGACAACTTATGAATCCCAATGGAAGGGATTTTCTCAAAGAAACTTCTACAAAAAAGGACAGCATCCTCCTTTTAAAGAAAATTTATTGTGCAATAACCACAAAAAAAGAACACACCAAGGACAAACGATGGAAACTTCACGAAAATTTCCAAGATCATGGAGGAAAAAAAAGCCATAAATAAAAAATGAACAAGCCTGCCTAGTGGAGTCAAAATGATTCAATTCAGAAGAGAATAATAAATTAAGGAATTTTCTCAATGCTTTAGAAAAACCAAGAGGATCTTGTTCACTTGCTCAAAAAGATAATTTTTAATTTTTATGCTCTTAGTGCCTCTAATAGTTATTAGCCTTCATGGAACCAAGATTCAAGTCCCACCGATCACATTACAAATCTAGCTAATATAGCTCAAACTTACAAACCTTGTCCTAGCAATAGGGAAATAAAAGTTACAGATAAATCTTTGAAAACTATTGCAGGATAGGGAAACATCTTAATTTTACCTAAATTAACCCTCAGTAACGCATTACATGTCCAAAACATTGCAGTTAACATTTTATATATTCACAAATTAACCAAATACTAAAATTGCAAAATCATATTTTTTAATTGATTATTCTGCTTTCTAGGATCTCACTACAAGGAATATGATTGGGAAACTACAGAAAAGAATGGGTTATGCTTTCTTGAAAATTGAGGTCAATTATCATAATTTTTCACCTCGAATACTACCAATAATATAAGGACCCATCATTATATATTAGAACATCATTCTTTTCAATATGTTATGTATATTTTTTCTTCCATTTTCACAAAAACAACCATTAAAAACTTTTATTGTAAAACTTGTGAAATTCCTAAATATAGTGTGTTTATTTTCTTAAAAGTAACTCTATATCTTCTAGTAAGTTTGTATTAATTCATTATGATATCTGAGTACCCTCTAAAATCTCAAATATCTCTGAGTCACTAATTTTGTTATGTTTATTGATGATTACACTTGAATAACATGTGTAAACTTAATTATATAAAAATTTGATCTTAGATCTATACTTTATATATTCATTGTCATGATCACTGTCATGATAAAAATTAATTTAATGCTAAGATCAAATTTTTCATATTCAAAATGCTCGTAATTATTTTGATATCGATTTTTCAAAAATAGGGTATTATCCATCAATCTTTTTGACCTGACACTTCCCAACAAAATGAAGCAGCAAAAAGAAAAAGCTGTCACATTTTGGAAGTAATTAGGACACTTCTCCTACACAATCAAATACCAAACATTATTGAAGAGAAGTTGTTCTAACAGCTAATTACTTAATCAATGGAATACTCTCAAGGGTAACTGATTCAAAAAGTACATTAAATTATTTGATAAAATTCTTTCCTATGAACAACTTCTAAAAGATCTCTCTAAAAATTTTTAGATGCATTGCTTATATTCACATCCATAAACAACATAGAGGAAAATTTGACCTAAGAGCGCTCAAATGTTTATTTATTGGATATTCTGCCACACAAAAAGGATATAAATGTCATCATCCACTCACAAAAAGTTATTTACTTCGATGGATGTCACATTTGATGAAACTCATGATTTTTTTCACTCATCTTCCGGAAGAGAATTATAAAC